TAGTACAAGAGCAGATCTACCATGAGATCAGAGAGGCTAAACCCTAGAAGCTAGCCTATGGTATGATTGTTGATGTGTATGTTGTCCTACGGACTAAAACCCTCCGGTTTATATAGACACCGGATAGGGTTAGGGTTACATAGAGTCGGTTACAATGGTAGGAGATCTGAATATCCGTATCGCCAAGCTTGCCTTCCGCGCCAAGGAAAGTCCCTTCCGGACACGGGACGAAGTCTTCAATCTTGTATCTTCATAGTCCAGGAGTCCGGCTGAAGGTATAGTTTGGCTATCCGAACACCCCCTAATCCAGGACTCCCTCACTCTGTGTCGTCGCCGTTAGGCTTGATGGCTCCTACGATCATCAATGGCGAGGCAGTTCAGGGTGAGACCTTCCTCCCTGGACAGATCTTCGTCTTCGGCGGTTTCGCACTGCGGGCCAATTCACTTGGCCATCTGGAGCAGATCGAAAGCTATGCCCCTGGCCGTCAGGTCAGATTTGGAAGCTTAAACTATACGGCTGACATCCGCGGGGACTTGATCTTCGACGGATTTGAGCCACTGCCAAGCGCGCCGCACTGTCAGAACGAGCATGATCTAGCTCTGCCGACGAACAGTGCCCTGAAGGCCGCACCCGCATCGGCTTCGACCCTTAATTCGGAGCCAACTGCGCCGATAGAGGATGGGTGGTTGGACACCGCCTCAGGGGCTGCGATCCCAATGGCGATCGAGCCGAACATTAGCCCTGCACTCTGCGAGACTCGTGACTCCAAGGAGCCGGACTCCTCTCCGGACTCTGAACTCTCCGCGCCCCTGTCGATCGAATCCGATTGGGCGCTGATCATGGAGTTCACTACCGTGACATCTTCCAGCAGTCGCCTTTTGGCGATATTCTGAATACACTAAAATCTCTCTCTTCATCAGGAGAGCCCTGGCCGGACTACGGTCAGCAGGGTTGGGGTACGGACGATGAAGAAATTCAAAGCCCACCCACCACCCACTTTGTAGCCACTGTCGACGATTTAACCGACATGCTCGACTTTGACTCCGAAGACATCGACGGTATGGACGCCGATGAAGGAGACGATGAAGAACCAGCGCCTACTAGGCCCTGGAAAGCCACCTCGTCATATGACATATACATGGTGGACACCCCAAAAGAAGGAGATGGCGATGGAACAGCGGAGGATGACCCCTCCAAGAAACAGCCTAAGCGCCGGCGTCAGCGGCGCCGCTCAAAATCCCGCCAAAACAAATACGGTGATTCCAGCACGGGAGATAATAATACTCCGGAAAGTGCCGAAGAAAACCCCCTCCAGCAAGATTTAGCACAGGAGGATGGAGAAACCAGCCCTCATGAGAGAGCGGCCGACAGAGAGGTCGAGGACGATAATTATATGCCTCCCTCCGAAGACGAGGCAAGCCTCGACGACAACGAATTCGTCATGCCGGAGGATCCCATCGAGCAAGAGCATTTTCAACGCAGACTTATGGCCACGGCAAGAAGCCTCAAGAAAAAACAGCAACAGGTTAGAGCTGATCAAGATTTGCTAGTCGACAGATGGACTGAAGTCCTTGCGGCCGAAGAGCATAAACTCGAACGCCCCTCCAAGAGCTACCCAAAGCGCAGGTTGCTACCCCGATTAGAGGAGGAAGCACTTAAACCTACATCACCTGCACTCGATACGGCCGATCGGCCACCTCGTGGCCGCGACAGAGAGGCCTCTCAGCCCTCCACTAAAGCCGCACCCCGTACCAAGGCACGGGAAAATGCGCCGGACCTGCGAGATATGTTGGAGGACAAGGCAAGGCAAACACGATCGATCTACGGATCACGTGGGCACCCCACGACTCGAGACGATAACCGTCACGCCGGCCACAAATTCGGCAGGGACGAACACAGTAGACAAAGCTCATTGGAGCTACATCGTGATATAGCCCAGTACAGAGGCGCCGCACACCCACTATGCTTCATAGACGAAATAATGGATCATCAAATCCCCGAGGGTTTCAAACCCGTAAACATCGAATCATATGATGGCACAACAGATCCTGCGGTATGGATCGAGGATTATCTCCTTCATATCCACATGGCCCGCAGCGATGATTTCCACGCCATCAAATACGTCCCACTCAAGCTTAAAGGACCAGCTCGGCATTGGCTTAACAGCTTGCCAACAGGATCAATCAGTTGTTGGGAGGAACTGGAAGCCGCATTCCTCGACAATTTCCAGGGCACTTATGTGCGACCCCCAGACGCCGATGACCTAAGTCACGTAATTCAGCAGCCAGAGGAATCGGCCAGGAAATTCTGGACACGGTTCCTACCAAAGAAAAATCAAATCGTCGACTGTCCGGACGCTGAGGCCCTAGCAGCCTTCAAGCACAATATCCGTGACGAGTGGCTTGCCCGACACCTTGGACAGGAAAGACCGAAGTCTATGGCAGCACTCACGACACTCATGACCCGCTTTTGCGCGGGAGAAGACAGCAGGCTTGCTCGTAGCAACAATATGACCAAGAACCCTGTTAATTCGGATACCAGGGACAGTAGTGCCAGGTCACGTCGTAACAAGCAGAAGTGCCGCATTAACGGCGACAATGCTGAGGATACGGCAGTTAATGCCGGATTCAGAGGCTCTAAATCCGGTCAGCGGAAAAAGCCATTCAAAAGGAATCCTAAGGGCCCGTCCAGTCTGGACCCAATACTCGACCGCTTGTGCCAGATACATGGCACCCCCCAAAAGCCGGCCAATCACACCAACAGGGATTGTTGGGTGTTCAAGCAGGCAGGCAAGTTAAATGCCGAAAACGAAGATAAGGGGCTGCATAGCAATGACGACGAAGAGCCCCGGCCGCCGAACAACAGTGGACAAAAGGGTTTTCCCCCACAAGTGCGGACGGTGAATATGATATACGCAACCCACGTCCCCAAGAGGGAGCGAAAGCGCGCGTTAAGGGACGTATACGCGGTAGAGCCAGTCGCCCCAAAGTTCAACCCATGGTCCTCCTGCCCGATCACCTTTGATCGAAGGGACCACCCCACTAGCATCCGTCATGGCGGATTCGCCGCATTGGTTCTAGACCCAATTATTAACGGATTTCATCTCACAAGAGTCCTTATGGACGGCGGTAGCAGCCTGAACCTGCTTTACCAGGATACAGTGCGGAAAATGGGCATAGATCCCTCGAGGATTAAACCCACCAAAACGACCTTTAAAGGCGTAATACCAGGTGTTGGGGATATACCCCGCGGCGTAAACTGGCCGGAAGTATAACCCGGCCGGACTAGGCGTTTCATTGGTAAACCGCCAGAGGATTGGCGGTTTACGTGATTGGCGGTTCACATGTCTGGCAGTTCACGAGCCTGAAGACTCATTGGTGACCCGGCGCGTGTTCCAGATGGATGACAAGGCCCAAGGCCCAGCATGCCGGTTTATGATAATGGTGGGCCAGTTTAAGAGGAAAGGCATGAGAAATATTTACCTTACAAGGAGTTACGACCAGGACTTGGATCCGGTTTGTATTAGAGATAGACTAGTCCTAATCCTAATAGAACTCTACATGTAACCCGCCCCTCCAACATATATAAGAAGGGGCAGGGCTCCCCAAAAGGGACAAGATTCACAAGTTCCACGAGTTGGACAAGTTAGGTTTAGACAGACAACTCAATAGCTCTCGAGATAGAGCTCCTTTGTAATCGTGATCATCATCATCAATATCAACGAAGCAGGACGTAGGCTTTTACCTCCACCGTGAGGGGCCAAACCTGGGTAAAACATCGTGTCTCTCGTCCCACACAACCCCTCTCAAGCTACCACATAGATGCGTTGGCCTCGCGACTAAGTCCTGACACTAAGGACATCTGCCGTGACAAATTCACGATAGTTGGCGCCCACCATGGGACCTGCGCACGGTGGTGTTGAGTTCTTGAAAGGAAATTCTTAAGGGATCGAGAAGTTTGCAATTCATCGGATGAAGAAGATTCAAGAAATTAGAGTTATGGTCTGTCCGCTGCCGCCGTCACATGATTTATTTAGGCAGTTTTCGAGAAGGTCATGACCTGCCGAATCAAGCAAGAGTCGCAATCTACAGGTGACTCTACCAATGAAAGTAAACATCGGGGAGTTGAGCATGCGATCTGGAGCAGTTAGACCTCGTCACGCAAGTCGAAAAGCAGGTATTTGGATCAGTTATTGCGGTTTCGATCTGATTTGCCAAAAAAGAAAAAGAAAAAAAAGAACGTGGATTGGTCAAACCGACCACGACCCGGAGGATGTCTCAATCGCACGGAATCAGCCTCGTTTCCGCGTACTACGTCGTCACCGAACCTCTCCTACCAGATCCAGCGCTACCTTGGGTCGCACCTTCACTCGTTGCCCCGCCTCTGCCTCATTTAGCCGACAAAGTCGCCAGCCCAAAACAGCCGCCCCCTTTACCTCCCCTGACCTACGCCGCCTGGTTGAGCCGGCTCTGCCGCCACAGGTCGCCGCCACCAAGTTGCCTCGCTGGCGCGTCGAGCCGCCCCAGGTACACGGCCTCGCCTATTTTCCGAAACCGCCGCGAGCTGCGTCCGCGCAGACTGAGTCAACCCCACGCGGACCGAGCTGCCGGCTGTCGTTGCTTACTGCAGAACCACCGACGCGCCCTGGCCTGAGTTGCCCGCCGTCAAGAGCCGCCTCGCTGAGTCGCCGAGTCGCAGGCCTTGTTTCGAGACCGTCTGCATCAAGCCGACTAGTACATCACGGGAAGCCAAACCGGGTCTTCTTTTGTCAACTATGATTGCAACGTGTGTACAAGGAATCTACTAGGAGTCAAGAATTAAAGGAGGAGAGCTACTACATGAGTTTAGCATGTGAATACTAAGGAAAAGGAAGATCCATCAGAGGCAAGCTATCACAGCGCGTCAATACGGATTCAATCTTCGTCTCTGAGTGGCCATCGACAGAACTGGAGGAGATCACGAATTTGGTATTTGCCTCCATCTTCGTCGCCGAGCCGCCATGACCAGGCGCGCATCCGACCGCCGCTTGGTCGCGGCCCCGCTGCCGTCACCCCCACGCGCTGCTCCGCCCAAACTCAAGCAGGCCATCCTGCTCGCCTCCAAACCGCATGTGCTTTCGCGCACTGCGATACGGCTCCGCCCCTGTCGGTGTGCCCGGCCGCTTCAAGTCGCTGTCATCCACCTCTACAACTTCACCGCCGTGGGACTACCAGCGCGCCAAGCAGGTACTGCCCCGCGTTGCGCTGAGCGCCGCCTTACCTCGCGCCTTGAGCCGGCTCGGAGCTGTTTCTGCCTTGTGCCGTCTCTACCGTCCATCATCAAGTTGTCGGGCCTCGCGCGTTCCTGCTGCAATCGTTTTTCGGAGCAGGAAAGAACACAAAACGGATGACGTATACACAGAGCCGGCGCGGATGCATGGCTGGCGATGAATAGACTGACTATATGTCTGCGACGCTGTGTGTACATGCCCCGGTTCAACATAGCAGGACCAATATCAAGCAATGGATCCATCATTTGACCAAATCAACATTTTCTACAACATGGACGATGTATTAAAAAATATATGCAAGCACCACCGGTCCTAATTAGTGACCAGGACAGGAGCCTCGCCTCCGAGCGAGCACCACGTGGCCTCGCCTCAAAAGTTCTGTTGCCACTTCACTTTTGCTGTGGGTGAGCCGCCCCTGCACCGTTGACTCGCCGTGATTCGTCATGGTTAAATCGCTGTTTCCTTGCTTGGGCTACGCCTGCCGCACGATGAGCCGCCAAGACCGTATTGAGCCGCATTTACCGTGTTGAGCCGTCGGGGCCGCATTGAGCCATTTTTCTCGTGTTGAGCTATATTGAGTTGCCGGTCTGCCTGAGTCGTTTATGTCGTTTGGAACGGATCATCCGTCATCCAAACAAATCAGGTGATATCCATTCAAGTTTATTTTTCTTAACCCATATTGTTTTTATCAACGAGCAATTACTTGGTCTATGATGTCTTTTCGCAGGACCATTATTCTTTACAAAAAGGTGTTGCAAAAGGGGCGTGGGCAAATATTATTTTTTGCACTAGCGCTTGTCCTGCGCAAGTTGCCACCCTCGCTACATCAACACACGCGACTGACTCATTGACCGTGCCCATGTCCGGCATACCTGCGTCTCTCGTCCGCACCGGCTTACAACGTCGCGGCCGACTCATGTGTCTGCTCTCGCGACCGACTTAACCGCGATTGTTTTCAGTTTCACCACGGTGATCATCAACTCCGCGGTGATAATTGCTGACCTGACGCATCAGGTGAAATCCATCCAGCATATTTTAATAAATTATATATTGCTTTCTTTAAAGAGCAATTACTCTGGTTTGCAAGTTGTCCCATGCAGGATTCAAACCGGTCTATATCACGGTTAATTATGAAGAATCTCAAGCCTTGAGACTCGGAGGCTACAATGATATGACTCAGCAAAGGTTGCCGGCTTTTCAGTGAAGTCAAGAACCCCAGGATGCTGGAGGGAAAGATAACCCGGTCCCGGAGGCTACTACCATATGGATGAAAATTTAAGGGCCATCAGAAAATTTCCGGTTCAAAATGAAGAATGCCGGTTTAAAATCCGGTTCAAGGGAAATCTGTTCTCCCACGAAGCTCTGAAGCTCTCAAATCCGGTTTAAGAATTTCCGGTTCAAAAAGGAATTAACTTCTCGCAAGTTCGAGTTGAAAGGCCGTCAGAAAATTTCCGGTCGAAAATGGAGATTCCGGTTTACAATCCGGTTCAAGGGAAAGATATCTCCCACAAAGCTTTGAAGCTCTCAATATCCGGTTCAAAATCCCGGTTCAAGAAGAATTTATCTCTTGCAAAAAGTTAATGGTGGCCGAAGAGGACCTGCTGCCATGATGCGCGGTTCAAACATGGGTATCCTGCCTTATTGGTTTATCATATTATTGATCACTTGGGGGCTTGGTCGTATCCGAACCATAGCTACACCTCTTGATCGGCGCAATGCCACAGCATCACTTGGGGGCTTGGTCGTGTCCGAACCATAGCAACACCTTTTGATAGGCGTAAAGCCACAGCATCACTTGGGGACTTGTGGTCACGTCTGAACCATAGTCACGCCTCTTGATCGGCCTAGTGCCACAGCATCACTTGGGGGCTTTGGTCGAACCCGAACCACCGCTACACCTCTTGATCAGCGTAATGCCAATGCATCACTTGGGGACTTGTGGTCACGTCTGAATCATAGTCACGCCTCTTGATCGGTCTAAGGCCACAGAATCACTTGGGGGCTTGGTCGAACCCGGACCATTGCCACGCCTTTTGATCGGCATAATGCCATTGTTTCATTTGGGGATCTGGCTGACTTGAACCATAGCTACGCCTATCAGGGGCTTGTTCGTGTCCGACCATCGTAACGCCATTTGATCGGCTTAATAGCCTCTTTTTGCAGATGGTTTTATCATTGCCTTTGCTTGAAATTTTGTTTTGATAAATATTTCTTTTGTTGCGTTTTTAAACCGACAATTCTTAAACCAGTTCGACTGTCAAATTATAAATTGACGGAACACGGTCAAATCTTAATCCAGGGGCTATCTGCCCGGTTTGATTTTCTGTTACCATCCTATTATGGAGTAAACCGGTGATTATCAACCCGGCTCGGCTTTCAACTACAAGTTATCAGTACACGATCAAGTTATAATCCGGAGACTATCAGCCCGGTCTGGTTTGACTACGAGTCGCCAGTATTATATGTGGTTAAACCGGTGTTTATCACAACCTGGTACGGTTTTATCATAAACCGACACAATATGGAAGGAGTTATCAGTACTCAAAATCTGGGTTATTACCCCTATTACAAAAAGTTGGTAAACCAACGATGTGATTCAATGTCACAGGTATGATATATTTCATATTTGATTATTCTTAAGTGCAGCCTTGGTTATAAACCTGGGTTATATGTTGGGTATTATGACCCGTCCGACGGTAAACCGCCCGGACACTTTAAACTTGTTGTATGCAGAAACAGGTTGAATAAAGCATGATTATAAATCACCGGCGTTTACTAACCTGACCTGGCTTTCGACTATAAAGTTGCCAGTATGATGATAAATTATCCGGTGTTTATTAAACCGGCTTGGTTTTAAGACGATAAAGTCGCCAGTATATGATGAGAAATTATCCGGTGTTTGTTAACCCGGCCTGGCTTTGGACTGTAAGTTGCCAGTATATATTTGGATCGCATCATTTGAATCATGCGCTTATAAATCATTGGGTTATATTATTCAAATAGCCAAATTTGGCTGAATAATCATTATGATATTGAATGAATAAGGTTTTCATACCGGATTATATTATCTTGAATAGCCAACATGGCTGGATTTTATTAAGGTTATTAATAACCGGTATTATTGAGGTTTTCAAAGTTGCTTTAGCGCAATGGCTATTATTTTATCAAAGGATATATTCTACAATGGAAGGAATAGTCCCGAGTCGCTGCAGGCTTACGACCCGGCACTTGGGGGCTACATTATTCAAATTGAGATTACATGCAAGTCTCATGTCGCTGCAAGCATGCACCATGACACTTGGGGGCTAATGCAAAGTCATTTTTACTAGTCTTATTGAAGACCCGACTCATCATATTACAATGAGCCGGCCCTTGGGGGCTACCAATTGCTCCTGTCAACAATTCAAGGTACACAAGTTTTCGTCCATAATATTGAAGGATCCATTGCTCAGTTGGTAAAGCACAAAGCTCTTAACCTTGTGGGCGTGGGTTCAAGCCCTACGATGGAAGCTACATTATAAGATGTTATTTTCATTGAAGTATGTATCAAGTCCCGGTCCAGTATTATCTTACTAAGTCGGCCCTTGGGGGCTACACATCACTGCTAAAATCTACATGCTTATATTTACAAAGTCCCTGCTCATTATTGCATAATGACCTGGCCCTTGGGGGTTACACTGATTGAAGTTTTTATAAGCAATTACAAGTCCCAGGTTGCTGCAAGCATGACAACCCGGTACTTGGGGGCTACATATATGGAGTATTCAGTTTATATGATTGAGATGAACAAACCAGATTTATTCAAGGTTGAAACACTTATTGGAGCAAGTCTTAAGTTATCACTATGTTCTCCTCTTAAGACTTGGGGGCTACAGGTATTATGCATATAAAGGAGGAACATCTTTTATCAGTTTTGAGCAAATCAGGAAGAACAGTTACATGACCCGGTGTCGACAACAATTATGACCCGGTGCCGTCAATATTTGTAAACCGGTAATGATAAACCGGCAAGTTCAAGTCTTATACCAGCATAGTTTAACATTCTCAAACCGGCAAGTTTTACATCTTCAAACCGGCTGAATATCAGATAAGTATTTCAAGACCCATATTTCTTAAACCGGCGCTTTGGGAGCTGAATCAAAGGAGTTATTCTTCACAATATTTCTGTGACAAACCAATGTCGGCAAATTGATTATGAAGCTGGTCTGTTGACCCGGACTTCCCAGAAGGAGGAAATAACAAGGACTTAAGGGTGATCAGGTACCAGTTTACAAGAATTCTTAACCCGGAGCACAACCTATCAAATTTGTTCTTGTGTTTATTTTTGCAGCATAACTTTACCATGGATAAATCCAAGCTAAACTTGGGGGCTAATGTCGGGGATATACCCTGCGGCGTAAACCGGCCGGAAGTATAACCCGGCCGGACTAGGCGTTTCATTGGTAAACCGCCAGAGGATTGGCGATTTACGTGATTGGCGGTTTACATGTCTGGCGGTTCACGTGTCTGGCGGTTCACGAGCCTGAAGACTCATTGGTGACCCGGCGCGTGTTCCAGATGGATGACAAGGCCCAAGGCCCAGCATGCCGGTTTATGATAATGGTGGGCCGGTTTAAGAGGAAAGGCATGAGAAATATTTACCTTACAAGGAGTTACGACCAGGACTTGTATCCGGTTTGTATTAGAGATAGACTAGTCCTAATCCTAATAGGACTCTACATGTAACCCGCCCCTCCAACATATATAAGGAGGGACAGGGCTCCCCAAAAGGGACAAGATTCACAAGTTCCACGAGTTGGACAAGTTAGGTTTAGACAGACAACTCAATAGCTCTCGAGATAGAGCTCCTTTGTAATCGTGATCATCATCATCAATATCAACGAAGCAGGACGTAGGCTTTTACCTCCACCGTGAGGGGCCGAACCTGGGTAAAACATCGTGTCTCTCGTCCCACACAACCCCTCTCAAGCTACCACATAGATGTGTTGGCCTTGCGAGTAAGTCCTGACACTAAGGACATCTGCCGTGACAAATCCACGACACCAGGTGTAGAGGCCAACTGTATAGGCTCAGTCACACTTGAAGTGGTCTTCGGATCTCTGGATAATTTCCGAAGCGAGGAGTTAATCTTCGACATAGTCCCATTCCGCAGTGGCTATCACGCACTACTCGGGCGAACCGCATTCGCCAAGTTCAATGCGGTACCGCACTACGCATACCTTAAGCTCAAGATGCCAGGCCCTTGAGGAGTAATTACGGTCAATGGAAACACCGAATGCTCCCTCCGAACGGAGGAGCACACGGCGGCCCTTGCAACGGAAGTACAAAGCAGCCTCTCTAGGCAGTTCTCCAGTCCGGCCACTAAACGACCGGACACCGTCAAGCGCGCCCAGAGTAACCTACAACAA